GATCGCGTGTGGCATCCAGTGACGCATGACAGTCGTGGATGGCATCCCGTATCGACGGAGGCCATTTTCGAGGCACGGACATTGTGTGGCCTCACAGTTTCCTGTCCTCACAGTTTCCACCAATCGGTGGGCGTTTCGTGAAGAGGACATGGATTTTTTTTTTTTTTTTTTCGGTATCGTAGTCTCGTTCTTCAGACTTGGAAGGGAAGGGGCGTTTTCAAGACTGCGCACAGGCCGTCCTATTCTAAGAGACTAAAAGTTTTCGGCCGAATAAAACCCAAAAAAAAAAAAAAAAAAAAAAAAAAAAAAAAAAAAAAAAAAAAAAAAAAAAAAAAAAAAAAAAAAAAAAAAAAGACCAAAAACCCAAAAAAAAAACAACGATTTTCTAAAATAAAATAAAATAAATAATACTAATAATAATTATCCCAAATGTATCGCTACCAGGCTGCTACCCTCTTCATCTCGAACACAACGCACCCTCATCATTGATGCATAGCACCTAGAGCTGCGGTCCTCTACATCGATGACGAGGGTGTAGGGGAACAGGGTAGGCTGCTGTCCGCTCCCTCCTGTACGGATGAGGAGTTTTTTGGGTTTTTTTTTTTTAATGGATGATGAAGATATATATATATATATTTTTTTTTAAATGATGAAGAGATTGCTAAGGTGGGGGGACCCAAAAAAAAAAAAAAAAAAGTCCTTCAGGACATCCGTTAAAATTGGAACGATACAGAGAGAAAGAAGATTAGCATGGCCCCTGCGCAAGGATGACACGCATAAATCAAGAAATGGTCCAGATTAAAGAATAAAATTAAAAAAATAGAGAGGTTTTCGGCAAAAAAAAGAACTAAAAATAAAAAAGAGATTACAAGGTGCGTAGATGACGAAGATCTACAACCAGTGGGGAGTGCTCACCGACACTATCCATTCTTTTTTTTTTTTTTTTTTTCTTCCCTGTCCTGTCTGACTGCCCGAAGCTTCTGCCTCTTGCTGTCTTTCTGGCCCTGCTGCCCTTGAGAGCATAGCCAAACTAGGATTTTTCGACTGAATTTGGCCTTAATGGCGATCAAATACAGTCAGGAAAGCACAATTCTTAAAAAAAAGCACAATTCTGAGTTCGTCCTCAACGTTGATGACATCTGCACGGATCTTGGATTCCAATCAGTGAATGTAGGGGCATACCTCAACTAGGGTTTCTGGAATGAATCTGGCCGTGAATGAGGTCAGATGCGTCCCACTGCCCCCGGTCTAATCATGATTGCAATTACGATGAAAAGAAGTCTTGCTTTTTTTTCATTTTTCTCTATGGTTGATGGGAAGAAGATCTGTGGCCAAAAAAAAAAAAAAAAAAGAGAAGATCTGTGGGGGAGGAGCCCTTGCCGACATCTGTTAAAATTGGTAAGAGATTCGGGGGAAAAAAAAGGAAATCCGCAAAGGAAAAAGAGAAAAAAAAGGGGGGGCGGAAATGGAAAAAAAAAAAAAGCCCTTCGGCGGGACATCCGTTAATATCGGAACGATACAGAGAAGATGAGCATGGCGCCTGGTGTGGCGAAAAAAAAGAAGGGGGAATGCAACGGAGAGGCTTGATTAGTAAGAAAAGGACAAAAAAAGAAAAAAAGAAAGGAAAAAAAAAAAGAAAAGGACAAAACAAAAAGAAGCTTAATTAGGGCGAAGTTGCATCACTCGCCCCCCACGGAGATGTTGCATGCATCTGGACAATGTATCTGTCCAGATGCATCAAAACGTTGGCGGATGGCGCAGTAGTGCTACATCCGCGGTAGGCCCTTAGCATGGACGATGACGTTGAGGATCCCAAAACAAAAAATGCGCACAAGGCGACAACTGCTCGTCCCGCGCGCGAGCCTCACTCCAAAAAAAAAAAAGAAAAAAAAAACAGTCCTTCTGAGCATCAGTCAAAATTGATTAGCAAAAAAAAAAAAAAAAGATCAGCATGGGCCCTGGGGCGAGGTCCCACTTGCACAGAGGAGGATTGGATTAACCGCCTGAATCTGGACGTGTTTTACACAGAGATGCAGAACAACAGATCTATGGTGAGTTTGTGCACCTCTCCGCAAACACGTCCAGATTCAGACCTTCAATCTAATCCTGTTTGCAACTGGGACCTCTTGCCCCTGCTCACAGAGAAGAACTGCTCCCGATTACCAAAAAAAAAAAAAAAAAAAAAAAAAAAA